AATGTTTCCTCCCTCTATGAATGGAGAATATGAAGTTGAAAGGATACTGGAGCATGGATACTTTTCTACGGGTGGCAGAGGAAGGCCACAAAAGCAATACAAGGTAAAGTGATAATCTTAACCTTCGTCTTAAGCCAGATGGTTTATTAAGAAAGAACTCCGACCTACTGCTCCCGATATTGTTGCTGCATATGAGTGTGAGTTAAAAGAGCGCCTAAAAGTAATAGTTTCTGCGATGGAACTTGAAATTTGGTCCGATGGAATGAAATAACTCAACATAAAATGTGCAATAGTCTTGAGCCATACTTCGACACTTGGGTACTAAGGGCCATAACAAGGGCCTAAGGCCACGCCCAAGCTACACAAATTGCCTGCTACGAGGCCTGCTGTTGTGGGTACCCGATGCACGACCTAAACATGGGTTTCAGAGGCCCTATGTGCGACAATTGACCGTGGAAAGTCAAAGGTCAACAACAGCTCGAGAATTCAGGCTCACGAGTCAAAGTCCATACGGACCCATCCCAGGCCACCGATCAGGCACACACATTGGTGGTTTGCAAGTATCCGCCAAGAATCCAGTCCAGGTGGGAATCTGCAACTCTAAGAGACCCAGGCCATTGCCCGTGGGTCAATCTGGGCGGTCGTATTCGAGAGACCAGAGGCTGATTGACATTCAGTGTGGCACTTGCTGCTCGACGTTGGCACGATGTTGGCTGGACGCTAGCACTACGTTGGCATTGTGTATGACGACGACGCGAGACTGTTATATTGCGTTGCTGGTGCCTCTTTGTTCTTGGTGCCAACCGGGATCTTGATTGTTGACGTGGTGCAGGCCACATTGTGTTCGACACAGATTGGGGTATCGAAGAGGAGGGAGATCAGGGTTGTGAGAGTGGTTGTGAGAGAGAGAGGAAGTTTACCTGATTATTGTTGTCAATGCTGCACGCTGCTGTGACGTCTTCATGGGAGATTTGTGTCGACGTGGCACTATGTTGTGATCGGTTCTCTCCAGGCTCGTCTTTGGGATACCGTTCGCTAACGTGGACAAAGGGGAGATGCCCGAAGGAGGAGTGGGATATGAGGGAGATCTATCTTAGATGACATTGATGGATACCATCCCTTGGTTACGAGACATTGTACTTTGGATCACATGCATGATTATTGGAGACGTTGACTTGCGCTGAGACATCTTGTACTTCGACATCGACGAGTTTCTCTCCTCACATTCTTTTTCGTCAAGAGGGTCGAAATAAGCTAACTGTATATTTTTTTATTGTATCTTATTTTATATTTTACTACTCAAATAAACGTATATTACTACCCTCGTCTTTTGTCCTCTTCTCCCTCTCTGTCTATGGTTTACCGGGCAGCTCTTTTTGACGATATAATTATATTCTAAAACAGGCATATATTTACATAATATGTAATGACCCGCCAAAACAGAGACTAAGAACACTGCTCATTTCTGGGATTTGCCGCTGGAATGTATGCCTTGCTGAGATTTCCGCATTCTGATGTGATTTCTAAGTGTGCCTATATGAGTGCTTGTTGGCCTGAGTGTGTGTGTGACCAGCAAGGGTACTTGTTGGTCGGGAGACCTTGAAGGGCCGGTACTTACCCATGGTCGTGACCTCGAGGGTTGCCGCGGGAAAAAACACTCAAGTAGCGGGGGTAGGTGTGGCATACTCAGTCCCACACGGGCCCAGCAGGGCCCGACTATGTAGATTAGGGGTCCGTAGGTGTAGGGTCCACACCGTTTCGATCCTCAGCAGGGTCCGCAGGATCGGTAGGCCGAGTTTAGACCGAGTAGGACCAGTACCAGTATAGAGGCCCGGTAGGCCCCGTTTTGGGTACAGGCCCTGGCGCGCGTTTTGGCGCCAAGGCCTTGACTTTGAGGCTGCGCTGTTTCAGTAGCCGCTGGAGCAGCCTCAGTTTGAGCGCCAGGACTCAGTGACTGAGCCCAACCCAGCGCTACATATAGCAGGGTCCGACCTCAGTTCCTCGTCTTGAGTAGAGGATCGAGGAGGCATACTTCGGACGACAGTAGCGCAGTAGTAGTCGACAATAGGACTAGTCTCCAACACTGGGCGCTGATAGGGTAGAGCAGCGCAGGGAGGGAGAGATGGTGATGGCGGCCTGAGGACTTACCAGAGACTTACCTGCGTAGCCATTGCTCCAACTTCGTCTTCAGCACGTCCGCAACTGCATCGAGACACCACCTTTCGCAGGTCAGTACTTGGTATACAGAGAGAGAGAGAGAGAGAGATACCTTCTTCTTCCTCTTCTTCCTCCAGTCCACCACCTTCTTCCCCTCCCAGCGCTCTGCCTTCTTCGATTATGAGAGAGAGAGAGAGAGAGAGAGAGAGAGAGAGAGAGAGAGAGAGAGAGAGAGAGAGAGAGAGATTGACGACACTTGGGATTTGGACTCGATATTGGGCAGAAACCTGTGGGGGACTGTTTCGGATTGATATCAACAACATTTGAGTTGACGACATTCTCATCTCTTCCCCTTCTCCTTCGTCTCTTCCCCCTCCTCATTTGTGTATGAGTTAGGCCTGACACCTTCGTCCTGGCGTGCAGTGCCAGGCCATTCACACCGTGTGATGATGATGATGTATGTCTAGTCTGCATTTCGACATTGATTGGGTTTGATCATTTGTAATCCAGCCTTCCGCTATGCTATCCTGTTCTATTTGTGAGAGGTCGGTTCTTGGTTCTGGTCTGTACCATCTCGGTATGCAAGAGTTTGGTATCGAAGCACACCTCTCGAAAGAGGATCTGCCCAATCAAGAAACCAACTTGGTTGATTGATTGATTGATTGATTGATTGATTGATTGATCAATGAAGTAGGAATTCGTCAAATTTCTGGATTTTTTTTTTTCTGTTCTACTAAAGTTGTCACCTTGATTAGACCTACTTAATGCTAACCCTAGAATTGCGCTAATCACGAATTAGCACTAATCCGCGATTAACGTTCTAACCCTAACCAGGATTAACACCTTAAGGGATTAAAGCTTTGCTAAATTGCAGATTCTTTTTCGTTCTTTTTTTTTTTTCCTTCTTCTTTTCTGTTGAAAGTTAGTAATTCCTAAGTTTGCACTTTCGGCATTTTCCACTCCGCGGATTTGAGACAGCCAAAAACTTCAGAATTTCGAAAAATTCGCGAATTGCGCGCAATTCGGAATCTCGAAAATTTCGGCATCACGCGAAATCCGCGAATTTCGAAAATTCTGCGAATTTCGGCATTCCGCGAGTTTTGGAAATTTTGCGAATATGGTGTTCTACGAAATCCGCACATTTCGCAAATTTCGGAATTCCGCGAATTTTGAAAATTCTGAAAATCGTAACACTCCGCGAATTCCACGGAAGTACGAAAGTAGCGAGTCAGGGTTAGGAAAGTGTTTCGTTTTGAACTCCTGTGCCTAATTAGTTTCGAAATTAGGTTAGTTCATATTTCATTCAAAGTCGGGATTGTACGATGAGTCATTTCGTAAATTTTCTCGGAAATACTCGTGTAAGGAACATGAATGTGGACGACGCAAAGAAATCCCAATAGCAAATCACACTGAAGTCCAGGTAGTCTAAGCAAGACCAGATAACACATTGGAACCGAGCAATCTTCCATTTGAGAACGATACAGCAAAAGTCGTGAGTCAATGTCCAAGCCCAATCAGGCAACACCAACAACATAACTCGAAGTAGCCCTCTCTCTTGAATGGCGCCAGGGGCGCCCTATCTACTCTACAACCTATCCTACAACTACAATCATGGAAGCAACCAGGCAACTTGACGACCAGCTAGTGATTACGTCAACACCAATGCCGACCTCCTCTTCTTCCAGGTAGGTCACTCTCTCTTGTCCCTCACTCTCCCTTGTTATCCCACACAGCGCCCTTCACCTCCCAAAGAACCACCTTCGCCCTCGCCTGCTCCAGCGCCCTCATGCAGTCTGGCTATGGCTGCCAGCGCCCTGCGCCCAGGCTGCGCTCTACCGCTTAGGGCCAGCCTGCCTTCACTCAGCCTAGCGCAGCGCAACACCCCGCAATGCAACAGCGTGCCGGCCTTGCTCGCAATGGCCAAGATCCCCGCCTTCCCTCTTGCTTTGCCTACATGCCAGTATTGCGTGTGGGAAGCCTCCCTTGAGCCTGCGGCTGGGCCCCAGTACGTGTACCCAGGCCTAGTGCAGTTGGGGGCCCCGTAATACAGTTGCGCCTCTTTCATCAAGACCTGCGTCCAGGTTCAGATAGTGAACCGGTTTCCCATTAGCATTTTCGGCGTCTATGTCCAGCATGCAATGTCGGCCTCACGTTTATGCGCCCAGAGCCTAACCAATTTTGGGGCCCTGGTCCTTTTGCATTTGCAGAGAATCTGGTACTCGGTGCACTCCAACCGACTGGCGTGCGGCAACTGTATGGACCCCACTTCGTGAAATGTTGAACAAAGGGGCTCTCGTTGATTTGCTGGCCCGCCTTCACTTAGGGCGGGCACGAGGCTTGCTGGGGGCCTTGGCCCAGAACATGTACATCACGGCAAGGCCCCTTTTGAGGGCGCAATCCTCACATTCCATCCCCCTTGGCTTCGAAAGTCTGCTGAGATGCTTACTTCGCAGGTGCCTTCCCCTTTAGCTGTCGTTCAGATTCAGCGACCACCTGAGGAGTTGTTTCAACCAGTTCCTCTCCGGTGAACCATCGATCTTCTTTCGGATTTGTGTGATGCCTGAATCTGACTCTGTATTCTCTTCTGGGTTTAGGAGGTCTTCCTCGGCCCAGAGGTCTTGGAACAGTCATGTCTCTGTGTTCCAGAATGTCGTCGATGTCCACGTGGCCATCCATGGTTGGGGGCAGCATTGATCTCCGTGAAGAAAATTGATCTGTCTCAGCGAAAGGTGCAAGCTTTGAGGCGTGAAAAACTGGGTAAGTGCACAGGTGACCAGGGATACGGATAACATAGGAAGGGTCATCCAAATCATCCCCAACTATGTCTAAAACTTCCCAAGGACCGAAGTACAGTGGCATTAGTTTTCTAGAGATGGCGAATTCCTATCCTAGCTCACTAGCCTTCACCCAGACACGTTCCCCTACCTGAAATGTGGACTGTCGACGGTGTTTGTTCTCAGAGGCAGTCATTGCTTCCTGAGACTTCTTAATGTGCTCGACAACTTGCTGCAGCAGTTTCTCATACTGCACCCCATATTCTATTGAACCAGGGGTTGCAGCAGGTCGGTTTTCAGGTAGGAGGAAGTCCAGAGCTGATGTTGGCTTCCATCCCAAGTGCAGCTGATTAGGACTGACGCTGGTACTGCTGTGCACAACGTTGTTGTACAGGCTGGCGATGAGAGGCAATTTCTCATCCCAATCATCCTGGTTGGGCTTGATGTAATGCCTTAGCAGGTGTTGTACAACTCTGCTCATCTGCTCGGCCTGCCCGTTGGCTTCGGGATGATTCCCGGAGGTCATCTGAAGTTGACAGCCCAATTGCTCAGCAGTCTTCTTCCACAACTCACTTGTAAAGCGGACATCTCTGTCACTAACGATTGACTTTGGCAGTCTAAAATCACGCACCCGGTTGTCCATAAACAACTTGATGACGTGTTCAGTTCTCGCCGTCTCTGGCATGGCAATTAGTCTAGCATACTTGGTGAATCGGTCTATGATGACAAAGATGTGCCTCTTGCCACTTCTGTTGGTTACCAATATGTCCATGAAATCCATGGAAACACTCTGTCCCGGACCAGCGGGGATAGGTAAGGGCTTCAGCAACCCAAGTGGTGCTTGAGTTCGCGGCTTGTCCCGCTGACAGACCTGACAGGTCTCCACATATTTCTTTGCATCATCTAGCATACCGGGCCACCAGAATCGTTGTATCAGATTAACGCTTGTCTTCTTGTAGCCAAAGTGTCCTATTGCGTAATGACATTCCCCTAAAAATAAACTACGCAAACGTTCACTAGATGGAATAACTAATCTTTTAAACCCGGCCTTATCAAGAAAGAGTAACCCGTCCACCATCACAAACTCATCTTCTGTGGCCTTATCTTTTGCCTGTAGTTTGCGTATGATGTCCATCGTGATAGGGTCTTCCTGATAGGGTCCCACCAACGATTGAGTTACTTCTTCAGATACGCCAAATTCGGAAACTAGTGCCCCTAGGTGGTCTGCCCTATGTGACAGCGCATCTGCAACCTTATTGTACTCTCCCTTCAGATACTCCAGTTTGAAGTCATACTGATCTATTACCTCAATCCAGCGTTTGAGTGCATCAGAAAGAGTCGGTTGAGTCTTGATCCATTTGAGGGTTTGACGGTCAGTTCTCGAGTAGAGAAACCGCCCCAACAGAAAGTGCCTCCAATGGACGAGTGCCTTGTAGAGGGCATATAGTTCCCTTTCGTAGGTGGATTTTGCCAGTTTCTTTGATGGCATTTTCTTTCTCATATACTCAATCGGTCTCAACTTCTTCCCATCCTGCTGAGCCAGCACTGTGCCAATGCCATATTGGCTTGCGTCAGTGGTCACAATGAAAGGCTTCTGAGGATCGGGCACCATGATAACCTCATGATTCATGAGTGCATGCTTCAATCGTTTGAAAGCGGCCTCGCACTCATCACTCCAGTCTCACGGTGTGTCAAGTCGAGTGAGATCAATCAAAGGAGAGGCGATTGCAGAGTAATTCTTTACGAAGTTTCTACAGTAACCGCACATTCCTAAGAAAGATCTGACCTCAGGCACTGTCTGAGGTCGTGGATAGTCCCTTATAGTAGCCACCTTCGCATCTTCTGGCCTAATCCCCGTCGCGGATACTTCATGACCCAAGTATAAGATCTTAGTGTGTCCAAACTCACATTTCTCTAGGTTGACCTTATACTTGTGTTGTCGCAGGAGTGACAGTACAGTTTCTAAGTGTTGTGCATGCTCCTCGACAGACTTACTAAAGATAAGAATATGGTCAAGGTACACGACGACAAACTTATCTAAGTAGTCATGGAAGATCCTATTCATGGCGTGCTGGAATGTACCCGGCGCATTGCAAAGGCCAAAGGGCATCACCACAAACTCGTACAGACCGTATCTGGTTTGAAACGCAGTTTTGTGTTGATCCTCAGGTCTTATGGCAATCTGATGGTAGCTGGATTTTAAGTCTATCTTGCTATAGTACTTACATCCCTGCACCCTATCCAATAGGTCGTTTATGCGAGGTAGAGGCTCAACGTTCTTCACAGTGATGGCATTGAGGCCTTTGTAATCAATGCACATCCTCAATGACCCCCCCTTCTTCGATACAAACAGCACTGGAGATCCGAAGGGGGAAGTACTAGGCCGTATCCAACCCTTTTCTGTCAGCTCTTTCAGTTGTCGCCGGAGTTCGTCCAACTCGGCCGGAGCCATCCTATAGATCCTTCCCTTTGGGGTTTTACTCCCTGGAATTATTTCTATGGCGTGGACAATCTCCCTGTCTACGACTCCTGTGGGCTCCTCGAACAGATTAGGGAACTTAGTAACGACGTTCTCTATCTCCGGGGGTGTTTTAATGGCCTCCCCTTTCTCAGAGACATAGACGAGGTACATACCCTCCTCTCGCTTCTGTTTATAGTAGTTGTAAAACGCTGATGCACTCAAGCACCCGTAGGAGTCTAACAACCTACTAGCCTTGTACTTGGCCAGTCTCACGGTCCTCCCATCAGGTAACTCATGCTTGAGCACCTTCTTGTCCCAGTCAAACAGGGGCTTGGCAGCCTCAAGGTAGTACATTCCTAACAGCATATCGAACGGTAAGTCGTCACTAACCAGGAACGAAATCTTGTGATTAAGTTCCCCTCCTCCATAGGAGAAGGTGCACACTACATCCTTGACATAGTCTGACACTACCATGCGCTCCTTGTTGGCCAAAGTAGATGTTTCAAGTCTACTAAGGTGCTGTACCCGGTCCTCTAGGCGCAACCTTTCCAAACAGTCACGACTTATGTAATTCCGCGTGGAGCCGATGTCTCGAAGGCACCACATTTGCGGCCTCCTACAACAACTTCCACGACGAAATGTTCCCCTCTAGGACCTCTACTTAGTGCCACCCAAGATTCACGAGGGTCCTTGCTTGACCACTCACTTTCTAAAGCTTCTAAGGCCTCAGACACATCCAACGTACAGAGCATAGTTTGGTCTAGATGAGTCTGCAGGGTGTACACGTAGGACGGTCATCGAGGCCTTCCTCGACCCAGATGATAGTAGCATCATCGCCACTGATACAGCACATTGCACACTGATCGCCAGAAAGTTCTTTAAACAGTTATACACGTCCCAGATCCCATCCCCACAAAAATGAAGATAGAATCAGAGAGATACATAACTTCCTGTTGCCAATGGACCGGCACATATCCTCACAACAGCGTGACAAGCTGGAGAGAGAACTAATGAAAGACGAGGTATGGTCAGCACTCTTCCAAATGAAGAAAGAGAAAACTCCTAGCATAGACGACTTTCCCAAGGAATTTTGGGAAGCCACATGGACAGATCTAAGTACCGATCTGCGGGAATATTATCAGGACGTATGGGAGGCCGGGGAAATGGGGGAAACTGTAGGGAAAGGCGTGCTATCTCTTCTATATAAAAAAGATGATAAAATGAACATAAAAAATTACAGACCTATAACACTGCTCACAGTCTTCTATAAAATGGTTTCAAAGGCACTGGCCAACCGTATGGCATCAGTCCTGGAGGACGTCATACACCCAGCACAAACAGGATTTATGTCCGGTAGGAACATACAAGAGAACATCCTGCTAGTCAACGACGTGGTCCAACTAGCGCGATGAAACTGGGCCAATGCGGCCATTATTTTCATAGACTTTGAAAAAGCCTATGACCACGAGACTATACTTTTTAGACAGATGTTTGGAAAAAATGAACTTCAGACCTACCTTCCGGCGCTGGATCGGAATCCTCCATAACCATGCCTCCACCTGTGTTCAGGTTAACGGGTCAGTAGCACCGCCCTTCGAACTCCAACGATCAGTGAGGCAGGGGGACCCCATTGCCCCCTATCTCTTCCTGGTGATAATGGAAGCATTGTCTGCTAACCTTCGTCAAAACAAAGACCTTACTCGCATTAAGATATTTAATATCCCCGAGGAGGCGATCCCAATCTGCTCCCTGTCCGCAAACGATCTTATGATAATGACAGAAGCGACAAAATCCAATATGGAAGAAATCCAGCGGCTTATGGACAAATTCTGTCAGCTATCAGATACGTCGGTGAATTGGGGACAAAAGACTCTGTAGGGTGGTGGATGCATCACCAAGGAGGAAGACCCCCGGAACACCCACAAATCACATGGATCCCCCATGACGATCCCCTGAGAATCTTGGGGGCATTAGTCACCGCAAATGGGAAACCAGCATCGAATGACGAATGGTTGGCCGGACCGACGCAGACCAAAGTGGAGAAATGGAACAACAAACGTACTTTGATCTTTGGGTGGGCACTTGTCATCAATAACGTGGTCCTGGCCACTCCCTGGTATAAGGCCATCCTATGGCCCCTAAGTGAAGGAGGCCTTAAGGCACAAAAACAGCAGCTGGCGGCTTTCCTCTGGAGAGGCGACAGTAACAAAGCTCATGCCATAAGCCGGGTGGCATGGGACTCTGTCATTCAACCCAAAAGTAGAGGAGGACTTGGGATTGTAGACCCGCCCTGGCACAAATTTTTGACCTGGCCCCAAAAACCCCACCAGAGATTGACCCATATATATGGCTTGAAGATAGGTACTGGAGGATACCAAGGAAATATAGTAACGGGGACCCAACCGATAGACAGTGGGTGCGCCTTATACGCACATGGAGGAAACTCCTTCCCCCACTGCGACCAGTACCAGAAAGGTGGGAAGAAATATTCAGGCAACCCCTTTTCGGCAACCGCCTAATAACAGACTTTAGGGGGCGTGTGCGGAACAGCTCGAATGCCCCGTGGAAAGGTTGGGTGAGACATGGGTTGCGAAGGGTTGGGGAGCTTCGGGATAAAGAGACGGGAAGCTGGAAGAGCATAGAAAGGATACGCACTTGGTTGTGGTATTGTCACCACACCGAGGAAGCATTCAACGAGCTTATTGAGAGCTTCCCACTTCATTGGTACACCACCCTCATAAAAGGCCCCTGCATAAAGGAAGGAGATTGGGTGGGGATTCCTGACCTTGAGAGGGAGGTGGGGCGTGTGCACCTTACGAATCCAACACATGTGCTACTTGAAGTCTTCTCCACCCAAAAGGGCGATAAATTACAGTGGAATCAACAACCCTTCACATGGAAAGAGCGAAAGGGGGTGTACCGCATCAGGGTCATGGAGGAGGGATGCCTCCAGAGGGCGTACCGCCCTATGATCCCGATCGAGGACCTCCCATTAGACCCAGACGAGTGGCGATGGAGTCAAGACAACCGGGCCAGGAGAGGAGAAGCAAACACGCTGACACTTCTTATCCTTAAAACTAAATCAGCCTACCGGATGCTCAGACCTAAACGCAGACTGCGGGACCAAGTGGAAGACAGATGGTATCGTCATCTCAATATAGACCGCGGCTTGCTCAAACCTATCCGATGGTTTGCCCACTATAGCTGCAGACCCGCCAAAATCTCGACCCTCCAATGGCAAATAGAACACAGATGTCTACCAACCAACGACTGGCTGATAGACCACACGTATCTAGAGCAACAAGGGAAAGCATTGCCATGGTGTCACAAATGTCTTCAGGGCTTCCCCGGGATGAAACGAGCGGAGACCATTGAACACATCTTTCTCCAATGTCCCGCGTCAGTACTACTATGGAGAAGCTGGGACCGGATCTGGAGACATATTGTTCCCGGCACGGCATGGCCTTGGGACTGGAGGGCCATACTCTTAGGGTATTTCCCTCAACTCCCGGAAAATGCATTCGTGGAAAATATGTTCAAATTGGGTAGGCGAAGCATTCTATGGACCATATGGTGGAGACAATGTATCCTTGAGATAGAGAGGGCGCGTGTAGATGACGAGGAAGCTATGGAACAAGTGCGAACATTGGTCCAACATGAAATTGCATCCCAATGGAAATCAGCTAAAGACAGACTTGATCAATCATACACTTGGGGGGACATGAACAGGATTATATCCCGTTTCTGCAGAGACCGTGTTACATACTCCAATGAGTATGGGCAGAACCAAGAATCAACCAATATAGGATGAGTTTTTATGCAGTGGAAGGCTTATAACGAACTGACTCACATAGACTGACTCACATAGACTGACCTACCTGGCATCACTCCACACACATACAATCATGAGATGGTGGGGTCTGGGT